GCATACTATTAGTGGAACATTCTGGCCCATCACCCAAGTTACCAAAGTAATGCCTTCTTTTACCCTATGGTATCTTAGAATGGAGGAAATATGATAAAGAGACTGGGAACTTCTGAGTCTCTTTCAGAAGGTCTACAAGATGAAAGCTATTAAAATATTTTACCTTTTATATTTGCTTATGTGTGTATAGTGGAGTTTCCCCAAGACTATCTGGGGCTACTATATATCCTTAGATCAAGAAATTCACTCTAAATTAATTCCTAATATGGTAAATAGTTACACTATAAAAGCCCACACAAATTAAAGCTCTCTGAGGTCCCCAATAATTTTTAGGAATACAAAGGAGTTATGAAACCTAACAGCTTGAGAATGGCTATTCTATAAGAAAGAAATAGTCAAATAAGATATTCTATTACCAAAAGGTTTCATTCAGACTCATTAAAGAAAAAATTTATGCATTTCTTAGAAGATGGTTCCTGGGGGCCATACGCCCTGTCCAAAAGCATACTGATGGAATACCTGACAACCCTCACTTCCTCTAGAGATTCAAAGTCTGATGAGTGCTATAAAAGTTTGTTCTTTCAGGCTCCCTTAGAACAATCAGCACGTACATACTCCCTATGAGTCTGCTATATAATTGCCACTACCTCATCTTAATAACAGGCATAATTGCTCTGAGTTTCCGTCGACCCTTTCTTGCATCTCCTTTCTGAAGCCTCAATTTTGAAAATGGCACTTGTGAATACACAGAATGTTTAACCACTTCCAGTTTTCAATTTACAGTCAAAGTCGTCTATCAGCAGGAGATGAAGGCCCAGTGTGAAAACTACAGAATGTCCTTCAGACTCCACAGCTAATTTGTTTGTAAATTTGATTGTTATTGTAAGAAGAACATATTGTACAATGATGCTACTTACATGACGCTGCTTGCCAATTTACTATTTGTATCTTTGTATCTTGGATTTTTATCATTAGAGCCAAAGAAGTTAACCCTTTCAGCACTTCTGGAGATAGGAAGAGTAACTTGAAAGTTTTACTGTTTTCTATTTGAGTATCTATTTCAATTTAATTTTATAGATACTTAGTAAATACCTACTGTATATTCAGTTCCGTAAAGGATAAAGACATGGAAGGACAGGCAAGTAGAGAAGAGTCTAAGGTAATATGACATCGTGCATGACATGGTCTCATCAGACCATGAATTCTGCTATAATTCAGACTAAGGAGAGGATCACTGTGGATTGTCTTGCTGTGCAGACTTTTGACTTTCTGCTTGCATAGATACCAGGGACTTAAAAGAAGTCCCTAAAATCATTCTGTAGTGTTTTCCTGCTAAGAAGTTGAAGAAACCTGTCTGCTGCAGGTTGTTAATATTGTAGTATTAGCTCGACAGGGTAGACCAGTCTTTCAATTCCCTTTGGCACCTAAAGCAATTTACAGACCAGAAGTATGACTGCATGGCTTTTTATGAAATGGTCTGATTTCATTGATCAGCCACTCTAAGATTATGTTTTCATGTTGTGGCTACTGCTAACCATTCTTCCTGGTATAGTATTTCAGGAAGAAACTATTAAAACATTTACCATGGAGATGTTATCATGGTTATGAATGGGAACAGAAGCCTTATAACTCATGATTGTTCTACTCAGAAGTTGACTGGATTAGAATTGGATTAGAATTCTACAGATTGTCACTCTCATCTGAACTCTGTGAAGTTTCCAAATGATAAGGACCCTAAATAAGAGGAGAAGGCCTAATGAATATTAGGGGGAAAAATAACGAGGGTATTTTCACTAGGCCTCCAGTGTGGTTCTGGGGTTGACCTACTACTTCCCCAGGTGAGCTTCAAAAATGGACACACTTGATGGCCTAGCTCAGGCTTCTTGCTTCCAGAACTTTGGAGATAGGCCATGTGACCCCCCTACCAGCTGTACAGAATGAGTTAGGGAAATATTGAGGATACAGACTTGAACCTGAACTAATGCAGAAAATGATGATGAATACTGAATACTTGAGTTTCCATAAGAGGAGAGTCAAAATCATCCTCATAAACATGGGGAGTGGCTTTGGTTGAGGTCTTCTAATCACAGCTTCTTATGAATTCACTAAAGTTGAAATCCTCTGTGGCAAACAGTCCATTCTAATTAATGTTTTATCCAAACGGTAAGCATATCTGAGTGACTCCAGGAGCAACAATGACATGAAAAATCTGACACCTCATTGAACAGTATTTAGTTATTAAGCTGCTTTCTTACAGCTCCAAACTTACTCTTTAAAGGCATTGCTTTGGGTTGTTGCAATTGGGACACTAAGATCTCTCTCTCTTTTTTTTTTTCATTTACCAGTTAGATTTTGATAGATCCTGACAATATGGGAAATAAAGGAATTCTAGGAGGCTAGACAAGTGAGAAGGGATTTGCACCTTCCTGCTTGTTTTCTGTTCCTGTCAACATCATTGTTACAGTAACCCTTCATTCTGCCAGCAGTAACTGGCTGCATTTTCCAGCTAATTTGAATACGATGAGTATCAGTCATAATCATAATGTTTCCTCAGAGGTACCAGAGACAAATTTGATTATTACAAGAAGAATATTGCTATTATAAGAAGGCTGATGTCCTCTTCTTAGAAGAACATTATCCTACCTCCATGGTGCAAAGTTTCTAGGTTCTGACAATCCCAAACTCTTCCCTTTGTTTCCCAAACCTAGAGGTGCCGACCACTTTCTGAAGATAGCCTTTCTTTTGCTAAACCCCCTAATATCTGTGTAAACCATTTCCTATATTAAATCCCACTTTCTGTTTTGCTCAATGGATCTTGACTAGCATTTATTACATGAACTTAGAAGAATTATATATATTATTGGAGGTCAGTGGATACAGCAAAGTACTGATGGTAAAACTACTATAGCTGAACAAGAACTAGTAAGGGCTTCCTTTACATCTCTGTTGGACTAGGCACTTCCTAAATACTATGTAATTGCCATGCACTTAAATGAACTTACTGAGCATGGATATTATGAAGTTACTGGTGATTGACTTTAAGTAGACCTCTTCAGTTCTCTGAAAATGCCATGATGATGCTATCACATATTGGACACTTGATTCTTTGTATAAGCATACTTTCATGGGGGATCATGCACTTGTCCCATATGACTTGTGCAGTCATGAGTCTGTACTGAATTATTCATAAGGTTTACTCACAACAACTTTTCCTGTGTTCAGAATTTATAAACACTAATGCATTGAATATCTACTATGACATTTCTTTTATATTCCCACTTGGTAGTTTCCTTGTTAGACATTAAGATTGCTTCTTCAGAATCATTCTCTTCTGAATTTGGGCATTGGAAGAGTATTCTGAAGTGGATCAAGTGAATACATAAGAGTGCATCACAGGATAAACACTTTTCAACAAGAATAGCCTATTACTAAATGTTTTATATGCTCATGTGTTTACGTCTTGAGGTATATTTTTCACACAAACAAGTGGCAAGTGGTCTTCTTCCTAGATGGAGTAAGCATCATCTTTAAATTGTATTTCCTTTTGATAAAGAATTGCTGACACTGATTTGTGTACCTTCCCCTCCCATAGTTAATAGGGAATGGGGATATGTGTAAAGGTGTAACGAGAAATATATTTAGGTCAATTGCTTATGATAGGACTATGCCAAAGATGTTGTCCTAAACCCTCTAGACCCTAACCACTGAATTTACCAACCAAGTATTTTTATGGATTACAGAGCTTTGGGGTCATCTCAGGTCATGGAGCATGCTGAGCAAAATGTGTGGAAGAATGAATGCTTCAAAAGTAGTTTGCAAGCTTTGCATCTTGTGACTCTTCCTGAAATTTGAAGATGCTTTTCCTCTGGTGCTTAATAGTTCTAATAAGAGCTAACGTGCCATTGTCCTTTGTATGGAAAGAGGACACTGCTGAGGGAGTTTTATTTATGTGATAAATTACGTTTTCGATAAAGCATTGAGCACGGTACTTGACTTTTATTTTAAGGCTCCTGACAGCTCTGGCTATTTGCTTGTGTGCAGAGATTTCAGCAGAATTTGGATATGGTGGAGTTGAAAATGTTGGCCTGCTGTTTTCTCCCTCTTCTATAAACAACTTGAGCTGTCACTTTGGAGAGAGCAATGTAAATACCTCTGATAACAGGTTGTTATATTAGATTTTAGTGATTGTGATTTTTTACCTAACAGATGTGGACCTAAAAATACAGTTAAAAAGAATTCAATTGAATTTAGAAAATATTACAGAACACTGGGGATAAACTTATTGCATTGTTTTGCCTCAGTTTATCACCTTCTTAAATTTGGATTTTTATATATTTGATTAAAGAAAAACCTCATAGACATATTTACAACTTTAATATCTTGATAAAATAGAAAAGTCACACTACTGGCTCACATCTGTAATCCTAGTTACTCAGGAAGCTGAGATCTGAGGATTGTAGTTTGAAACCAGCTTGGGCAGGAAACTCTGTGAGACTCTTAGCTCTAATTGACCAGCACAAACCTGGAAGTGGAGTTGTGGCTCATGTGGTAGAGCATGAACCTTGAGAAAAAGAAGCGTAGAGACAGACAATGATGAGGCCTTGAGTTCAATCCCAGGAAAGGCACGTACATGCACGTGCTCGCGCGCGCGCGCGTGCGCACGTACACACACACACACACACACACACACACACACACACACACAGAGGCGCGCGGATACGTGGTTCTCGTTTTGATGGGATTCATAGACTAAACTTGTTTCAAAATCCCAGTATACTGTTTTCTTCTCATGATACATTGGTTTCACATGTTTCATTTGGGGTTTACATTAAGCTGGGAACATTTTTGTTTTGTCTTGGGAGAATCATATTCTTCATATTGATCTAGATAAACTATGTTCTCTATTACCTACCATAATATTTTGTTTAGTGGAACTGACTCACCTAGAAGGGCTCTTGGCCACACTGAATACAATATTCATTTTTCCTTCCTGATTTCAGGGGTAGAAGATGATTTTAAATCTCATATTTAGAGACATACAAAAGTGACACTACATTCCAGCTTAAGCTCTGCAATCACCATGTCACTTCTTGAAAACATAAAGTAAATGAAGGTTTTGAGGCAACAGTCAATGACTATCATGAACTAGATGGAGCTTCACATCAGCATTAGGGAAATGAAATATTCTGTGAAGGTCAAAGCAGGTTACGACCAGTCCTTGGAGCACATGTTTGCTACAGCTTACCAAATGCACATACACAGGTATGCTTCTCTGCAAAAAGTACACGGCTGTGAAAATTACTTTTTCTAGATCCTTCTTATTCCCAATCTGTAAATTACGAGTTAATTTTTCTGTTTTGTGATTGCAAAGTCAAATGCTACTGATATTGGTACTGCTACTACTGTTACGACTCCTATGCTACTAGTAATAATATTCTATTGAACACTTATGAACCACTTTGCTAAGTGATTTCTGCATATCACCTCATGGAATCTTCATACCCTCACTATGAAAAAGGTAGCAATATCATACTCATTTGTACATGAAAAATTGCTGATGATAAAGAATTCCCCCCTGCCCAGCGGCCTACATTAATTGTGAATCCAGGTTGGTATAATTTGTGGAGGGGAAGGGAAAAAACAAAGTGTTTAAATAGGGATACAGGTGGACTCATTGCAACAATGAGATGTACAAGACATTATATCAAAAAATGACCTTTACAACTTTGGTGGGGGTGGGGGGTGGGGGGGTGAGAAGATGGGGGGGATGGGAGGGCAGGGATGGTAAGGGGAAACAAAGGAGGAGGCAACAATGCTTGATAAGGAAATGTACTCATTTCCTTGCTCATGTAATTGTAACCCCTCTGTATGGTATTTTCACAATAAAAAAGTTAATAAAAAAGAAATTCCTATTCTTTATATATAAAAAAGAAATTAGGCAGTCTGTTTTCCCAATCACAATGCTTCATGGATTTTCTATATTGGTAGAACTATGAAGAAGGGTCTAGCTTAAAGACCTGACTCTGTTCCTTCCTTGCATCATCTATTAAAGGATTAGAGAAAGGTTTAGCAATTCTTCACAGTCCCAGAAGGTGTTTCTTTTTCTGCATATGACAGAGCCAGGAGACCAGGTCTGGGCTGAATAAGCAATAAATAACAGTATCCAGGAATGTATTTAAATTAGACACTGACAATGACAGATATTGCAAAATCAGAATAACCACCTTGTAGGCTTATTTTGTTCTTGTGTCCTCCCATTTTAGCAGGTGTATGATGAATCAACAGAAAATATTTCCTGAAGATGCCAATTAGCATCTTACGTCATGCCCTATATTTGTAAAGCACTTTATACTTTCCCAAGTGCTTTCACATTAAAATAGAGAGGCCTCTTAATCAACAATTGGGTAATTCATTGAATTAGGCTTCATAAGGATGAATAATTAACCGTGTCTAAAATTTTAGTTTCAGTTTTTAAAGTGTTGTGCTGAATTTGAAATGATAGAGAAACCTCTTCTGGGTCAAGAAGTAGACAAAAATGATTGATTTTTTTCTATCTTATATTTCAGAGGAGAGGAGAATGAGTGATTCACAAAGAGTTATTATCATGCAATTTTCAGATCTTCCATTTATGGTTGAATAATTGCAAAGCCACTGGGAACTCCTAAAGAAAAGTTTTAACCTGGTTTTTGGTGCAGATGTAAAACCAGAGTCTGCCATCTTAGAGCCATAACAGCATAATGGGATTGCTATGTAGTTTGAGGTTTGTATTATGTGTCTATGTAACTAGTGTGGCAAATGAACATACAAAAGTCAAAGTTATATGCAATGTCATATGGTAACAATCTACAGTTAGAAATACCTTTAAAAAGTTTCTGTTATTAGACAAAAGTTGCATATACCTGCAATACTAACACTCAGGAAAATGAGGTAGGAGGATTACAAGTTTGAGGCTAGCCTCAGTTATATAATAACTTTGAGGTCAGCCTGGGCAATTTAGTGGTACAGACAGACAAGGAAGTCCTTCCATACACATTTTGCTTGTGACTGGTGACTTAGTGCATGTGGTACAAATGAATAGAGAAGTATGTTATTGATTTATTGTACTTATCTTTTTGGACTCTGGGAATAACCAGTTGATGAGCAGTTAGCTTTTTCCACTATTGCTTTTTTCCCCAGTACTAAGGTTTGGACTCATGGGCCTCATACTTGCTCAACTTTCTTATTTACAGATAGCACGCTACCACTTATGCTATGATTCCAGACTATTTATCTTTTTCCTCTATTACTATCTAGACATGCTAATATTGAATGAAAAGAAGTTTGTATGGTATTACTTTTAATGCTATCTGATCCATTGCTTAATGTAAGCCATTATTAAATAATATTCAGTTGTTTAGATTAGCCATAACCAATTGGAATGGAGTATGTGTTTTGGACCAGGGACATAAAATAACCTTTTGATTCCTTTCTATAACTCCTTAGTCCTCATTAATTTGCTGTTTGATCATTTCTCCACAATCTAATATTCTCTTTTCAGGTTTTCTATCTTTTGTTTTGTCTCACCTAGCTGTGTCTGTTGCTTACTCATGTGGCTGTCCACTGAAATAGGTGTATCCAGATATTTCAGACACCTTCATTTCATCATCCTTGCATGGTATTGACCTGAAACTCATTTTTCCCCTGCCATGTGTGCCTCTTTTTGTATTTTCTGGAGGTGGCCCCAGACATTTTCTTTGCATTGAGAGTGAGCTCAGCTCCATGGTTATTGAAACATTGAGAGGGTGTGGTGGGGGTGGAGGTGGTGAGATTTTCATCCCAGTGGCAAGAACTTTTAAAATAAACTTTCTTCCCCCCCCCCCCCCGGGAGATCCCTTTATTCCAGCAAACTTATTATAATTCAGATTTTCTTGATTCCCTACAGAGCTTCACAAAACTCAGAAGTCTGTCCCTGCAGGGAATTTCACTTATAATGGCCTTCATTTGAAAGATCTAATTCTGTTCTCTTTCAGTGTGCACATGGGAGAGTGATGGAAGTGCACAAAGAAAGGCAAGTCACCCCTGAAAAACTTCACTTTCAGTAGCATTGGTATCACATTCAATAGCACTGGTGAAGACACTCTTGAGATATGATAGGTTTTGAGAGGATAAGATAGGAGAGAAAAAGAGAGATATTAAGAGGAAAATATGTTTTTTCCTCATAAACTACTGTTTTTTCCTTTTTTTGTCTCCTGAGATTGCTGTAACTTTTCATGATTTGATGTTATTTTATATGTATCTTTATTTTTAATAAGTTTATTATTGTGAAAATACTGTACAGGGGGTTACAGTTACATGAGCAAGGTAATGAGTATATTTTTTATCCAGCATAGTTTCCTTCTCCTTTGTTTCTCCCCTAGCATTCCTTCCCTCCCCACCTCCACAACTACACTACTCCCCACTGCCGCTTAAATTGTAAAGTTCATTTTCAACATAGTGTCTTGTATATTTCACAAACGAAAGTGCTGTATTCACTTGCCCAAACTCACACTGACATGTAGATTTTGAAAAAGAGGCTTTATCATTTTACTTTAATCCAGTTGCAGCTAATTTGTGGCTTGAAAAAACTTCTAAAGAGAAGAAAAAATTGCTTTTTCAGTTATGTAGAGATAGAAGACAAGGAAGGGGGCAGAAGTCAACTACATGGGGCAGGTGATAAAATGCTGATGGATGAGACAGAGGGGAAAGCTTTGTTTTCTCAGTTAAGGAAAATGGCCACAGAGTATTGACTCAAAGTTACCAAAGCCTAAGAGGAGTTAAGTATCTAACTTGTTCAACGGAGTTGAAGTTTATGGCCCTGAAGAACTACCTCTCATAGGGAACTTGTAAATGCATTTTTAGAACCAGTTTTTTTTTACGATAACTGAGTAATATGGGTAGTTGAAGATGTGCTGGCAGATTAGAAATGGTTAAACATAGCTCTAAATTTAAGAATAATAAAAAATGCGCCCTACAAACTGCAGGGAGGGGGCATGATTCAGAAAAGATCCTTGAATGTATTCATAATCAGTTGTTTCTGACCTTGAGGAAGAGGTGCTTATGGATACTATGCCTAGAAACAGATTTTGTCAAGAAGTTCTCATTTCCTTTTAAACTAAATTGAAGATGATATCTATGAGGATAGTGGCTTTCATAGCTGTTTGGACTATGGCTCACACTCAGAAATATATATATATATATATATATATATATATATGACACTATTATCAAATTGAAAAAAATTGTTAAGAACTAATACCCTTACTATATGGTAACATTCTCAATTATTTTTTGGTTCTGGCTCTGGGGATTGAACTCTGGGCCTTGTTGTTGTCTCAAATCTTTAGTTGCTCAAGTTTAGCACTCTACCACTTGAGCCACAGCTCTACATCTGGCTTTTTGGTGGTTAATTGGAAATAAGAGTCTCACAGACTTTTTCCCTGGGCTGGGTTTGAACCACAGTCTTAAGATCACACCTTCTTGAGTAGTTAGTATTACAAGCATGAGTCACCAGCTCCCCAGCTATTGTTTAATTTTTAGTGTTCATCATAGGTCATTACAATGATTACCTATGAATCATAACTTGAAGGAAGTAGTTCAAACAGATAGGATCATAACTATTCTAATGATACTACAATTGTATCTTGGTCCATTCATGAGTTTATCATGGATGAAGATAAGGAAGGTACACATCAAATCTACAGGTGATACGAGGCTAGGAATGATAGTGAAGACATTGGATAATAGCAAATGAATACAAAAAGTGGAGTTATCCAAGTGTTATGGAATTAAACATAGGCTAATATAAGACACTGGAGTATGATGTAACATAATCACCTTGTATAAGTACAAGTTAAGGAAAAAGGGACGTGAGATATGAGAGTCTTTTGGAATCAGATTATATGCCAAAAGTGTCACATTGTGAAAAAATCCACTTCAATTTAATTGTGGTTTACTAGCTTTTGTTTTTTATTTGTTCCCACTTTGCAGAAACATCTTGGGATATCTCATAAGAGTAGAATGAGTCTCAATAATGACTTGTTGGGATGCCACTTGTTTGAATTCCTTTATACCTGTTTTGTAAATTGGGACTTACTTTGATGTAAATTTTGTGTGGCTAAGGTCTTTTTTGTTTGTGAAAATATCGTACAGAGGGGTTACAATTACATGAGCAAGGTAATGAGTACATTTCTTATCAAGCATTGTTTGGGAGAAAATAATGTAGAGTTGTGATAGTCCCCATTCTACTTCTGAATCATCACAGCACCCTGGGTTAATTCATCCACTTTTGAAAGCCACCGTTTCTAAGACATACAGAGAAATGGTTCAAAAGAGTGAAGAGAATGGTGAAGTAACTCCAAATTTTGCCAGTGAATTACCATTAAATGACTTTTGGATATGACTGTGGAAAAGGCAAATTGATTGTCCAGGTTCAAATTCTCATTCTATCACTTATTAGTGGCCTTAATCAAATTACACAATCCTTTTGAATCATCTTATGTTTATTAAAATAAATATCTATTTTAGAAAATAATGCTTATCTTAGAAAAATTGGGTTAAGATTCAATAAAATAATGTATGAAAGAATCCAGTATAGTGTATGACTCATTAGCACATTAATTTCATAGAAAATGGATTGCAT